TTAACAATAAATAAGCATTTTAAATCAGTGCTAGTCAACCACTTGGGATTAACTCTGTTTTAAATAACTTAAAGCTGCATTATAAAACAGAAAAAAATCTTGTTAGCTTGGGTCGTACAGTCAAACCCTATGCAAGTTAAAACAAAACAAAAATTCCAAACTTTTGAAAAACATGCCTGTTGGCTCTTTGCACCTGAAAGATTCAACTTAATTTTTACAACCTTCGTAAACGCTTATAATTGGCACAAGTAACAGAGTTCGCTCATATTAGGTGTGTGGCTAGATTTTTGGTGAGGGTGTGCTTTTAATGTACTGTTTTTAAAACAGTGGAAATTCCAGCTACATGGAACATAATTTTAACATAAAATTCTATGAACTTTCCTGGTGGTTACTCCAATTTCAAATAAAATTTTAGAAAAAAAAACTCTAGAATTGGGTGCAGGGTACTTTTTGTTTGTTAAGTGTACTTTTGTTTGCCAATATGTTAGCAGAAAGTAGCAGACAGCAGGAAATGAGTGAGATAGTGTAAAAGGAAGATATATCTTTAATAATATTATTACACTTAAAAGCATCCCCAGTTCAGGTAGGTTCCTTGCAAATTCTAGTGTGTTAGAAGAATGCACTTGAAAGATAAGTAGAGGAACTGTGCCAATTATTACATACAGCAAGCTACAGTCTTTTGCCAAAACAACTGTGAAATCATCGATTTTGTCTAACTTTTATTTCACTGAGTTTTTACATGGAGCCCTGTACAAATTTGAGAGTTGCTGGAGCATACATTCATTATGAAATTGTTAAAAGTTTCCAGGTTCCAGGGTGTTGATTCATTTTAGCACGATAGTGGGATATCACTGAGAGAGTGTAATTAGTATTATGATTCTGCTGGCCTTCCCAGAATATGATAGATGCAATCCACATTGCTTTGTGAGTTCTGCATTGAGTGAACCTTCTCAAATAAGAAAGGGCTACCTCAATGTTTAAGTAGGTACATTCGAAAGAGAAAGCAAACAGCATGAGGTAAGTTTGAAATGTTTAGACAGGGCAACCTAGGACTGGATCAAGCTGCACATTAGTTGAGCTGGTAATAGTTATTCCCTTCTTTATTGTCGTTGTTACCATAATAAACAGGAAGTGATGTCCTCCTCTTCATCAATCACTATCAATCAACTCCTTCAGCACCCTGGACCACTTTTTCTTTAAAGATTCTTTAGGACAACAGAGTAAATATTGTGTGAGCATTAATTCATTTCAGACCCAGAGTTGAAATTTTGTTGTACAACATGGGATGTTACAACATCTAATTAGGTGTGCCGTCACTAATCTGAAGCCTCCACTCTCCCATTAATTTCTTTGTTTTACACTTCAACAATCACCACAGAACTAAGAGCAGGAATGGATGATATGGTCCATCAAATCTACTCCACAATTTAATACAATCATGATGATGTTGGGCTTCAACTCCATCCACATCCAATCTTGAAAAACAAACAGAACAGCCATAAAACCCAGTTGTAAAAACAGTCAGGTATTTTCCTTGAAGCAAGGTAAAGAAAATCAATCCAGCAATTATCTTGAACCATGTGGTTTCCAAAAAAAAATCTTTTAAAAAAAGTTCCTTTAGCAATGTGTCCCCAGGCAGCTTACTACCTAAATGGCTGTAAATTGGGAGAGGGGAAAGTGCAGCAGGACCTGGGTGTCGCTGATTGTAAACATGCAGGTGCAGCAGGCAGTAAAGAAGGCAAATGGTATGTTGGCCTTAATTGTGAGAGGTTTCAAGTACAGGAGCAGGGATGTGTTGTTGCAGTTATACAGGGCCTTGGTGAGACCACACCTGGAATATTGTGTGCAGTTTTGGTCTCCTTGCCTGAGGAAGGATGTTCTTGCTCTCGAGGGAGTGCAGTAAAGTTTTACCAGGCTGATTCCGGGGATGGCGGGCCTGATGTATGAGGAGAGATTGACTAAGTTGGGACTGTTTTTTCTGGAATTCAGGCGAATGGCGGGGATCTCATAGAGGCTTATAAAATTTTAACAGCACTTGACAGGGTAGATGCAGGGAGGATGTTCCCGATGGTGGGTGTGTCCAGAACCAGGGGTCAGAATATGGGGATTCAGGAAAGACAATTTAGGACTGAGATGAGGCGACATTTTTTCACCCAAAGAATGGTGAGTCTGTGGAATTCATTACTACAGGAAGTAGTTGATGCCAAAACATTGAATGTATTCAAGAGGCGACTAGATATAGCACTTGGGGTGAATGGGATCAAAGGTTATGGGGAGAAAGCAGGATTAGGCGATTGAGTTGGATGATCAGCCATGATCGTGATGAATGGCAGAGCAGGCTCGAAGGACCGAATGGCCTCCTCCTGCTCTTATCCTTCTATGTTTCTATGTTTCATTTACATTTTAAAAAAAACACTCCTGGTATCTCCAAATAAATTGAAATAAATCTGTTTCCACAATCCTTCAAACTCAAATCCTCAAAATAATACTAAATGTGAAACCTTCATAACAGTGATCATTTAAATCTGTCTCCATAATAGGTAGAAGAGAATGTTGAGAGTGAGTTCAAATGGTAAAAGTATGATATCTAATTCAAATCCAGCACTAATAACATTACTTGTTATTGATGTTTTCTCTTGCAGATGAATCCAGAACTAGGAGTCATGTTTAAAAGTAAGGGTTTGTTCTTTCCACAGGACTGTTTGGAACTCTCTTCCTCTCAGGGAGTGAAAGCAGAGTTTTTCAATATATTTCAGATGGAGGTAGGTAAAAACAGCAAAGTTTAATGGGGACATGCAGTTATTAATACTCAGTTGAACTTCTATGGCATTGTTGCTGGCCCACTGCATTGGGCCTTGTCCCCAGTGGAATAAATAAATATAAAATCTTTCCAGTGACTAAAGTGCTGATAATCCTTCTTCTGAAGAAGGGTCTGGGCCCGAAACGTCAGCCTTCTTGCTCCTCTGATGCTGCTTGGCCTGCTGTGTTCATCCAGCTCCACACCTTGTTATCTCAGATTCTCCAGCATCTGCAGTTCTTACTATCTCTGTTACCTTTCTTGCCCTTATTTGGTCAATTAATTTCTTTTAGTACTGATCTGCAGTGCTGATACTAGGTGTAGTGCCATTCAATGTCAATGCTACCTTTCTCCATCGTCCTGTCAAGCCTAGCTTTTGTGGCTCTTTGCAGGTGAATAATGAACATGGATGAAGATAATGTAATGCACACATCTTCATTTTACATTCCTGTGGCTGCTATTTTTATGGAGTTATTAACTTCTCTATCGTACCCTTTTGCTATCATTTCCATATTTTCCAAATACCACTGCAGGCTTATGTCTGTTTTCTATGCAGCTGCCTTTTAAAAGAATATTGCCGGAGGTTGCTGAGCTCATACATTCATAATTCAAACCTTCCCCATCTAAATAATAATTCATAATCAAGGAGGAAGATAAACAAAAGTATATAAGAAGTGGAGAACGAGAAAGGAGTGGACACCCTCCTCTCTACGGAAAAACCTCAGTGGATCTCTCTCCCACTGCAACTCTCTCATCTCCTCTATCCATCTTCTATCCGCC